AGGAACCATCCAGAACTGACATCACTAAAAACACGCATGAATTCCTCTTGTCCATCGAAGCATCTATGAACTCCACGCCTCATCAGCTCAGTAATCTGTTCAGAATCTTGTTCCATCTTAATTACATTTGCAGAAACCCTGAGGAACCTTAAAAAAGATACGTTTGTCAAATTCTTTTCCATCAGTCAGCAAGTGCTACATGGTTTAGTTTTCTAGAACAGTCCTGGATGTCGCTTTACTTATTGTTCGTCTGAGCCCGCTATTTTGCTTATCTTTCTTTTGCTAACTGAAATGCCACAAAGAAATGTAGAACTGTCACAGCCTGCCTTAATGACAACATCTCCCCAAGCTTCAGATTACTCAGAGCTATCTATGGATAGTCTTTTATAGATTCAAAGTATGGGCTGGCATGAATAAACAGCTGATCCCTGTTACTGCCATCTAAGTCATTGTACAGATTTCTTATTTGCAAATTAAATGAAAATCTGTTGCATGGTTGATATCTTGGCTGTGGTGGCCTTGGATTCCTCTCTCCTGTCATGTCACAATTATGATCTCAGTACTTATACATGGGTGGAATATTAAGTGTTGCATGATTCTGAGGTGTAGCGAGAGATATTTACACATCGGCCAATCACTTTTTGTTCTCTGGCTTGCTTTCAATGAATGCATTATTGCATTACTGGAAGGAAAAGATAGAATCGTGTTCATGTGCCATCACGAGCTGTTGATTTTAATAGCCATAGACATTTAAGGTACAGAAGCTACATATAAACATTTGCTTAAAAATGTGCAGTAACCAGACTGAATGGCTTATTTTCTAGGCCACCAAGCCACTCAGTGTACAATAAACCAATAAAATGTAATTCTGCTTTGTGATTAGCACTTACAGGTAGACAGTGCTTTTGTTTACATATATTTTAGAAAGAACACATGAATGGTCCTAAACGTTTCAGTGTACACTGTGAAGTATAGTTTGTTTATATTCACTACTTAATAACTGTTATTAACTCTCTTTTGTCTTTGGTGCTCTATGCTTTCTGTGATAACCTGCTGGCTCATTACAACCCTGTATTGGATAAGTGGTATAGGCAAGATGGATGAAAATGTTTCTTGGAAAATTGTGAGTGTGGATTTTCCATCCATCCATCCATCCATCCATCTTTCCATCTACGAACAGGCTCATCTAGTGTTTAGGTGATGGGCTATTGGTTCTAATGCATGTACCCACATTGTCACTTTTAGATTTTGTATGCTTGTAAAATAGTTGGACTTGATCTACAGCATTTTCGTCATACTGTGCACTTGCAAGGAAGCGAAAAAACCCCAGGCGTCCTTCCAGCTTTCTTTGATGTAATAAATTGTTTACTTAAGAGTTTTTTTTACACAGAAAATGTTCTTAGTAAAAATACATCCATCCAGCAGTTTCCACATCACATATAAACATAATTAGTATGCTCATAAGACTAGCAAACGACTCACTGCATAATTTTAAGGTCATTTCTGTGGCAGAGAACTTAGTTGGTGTAATAGCATCCATTAAATTCAAAAGTTTTTATAAGTTGTGACTTGAGGCCAAAGCATGTTCCTATGATGCATTTTCATCAAGGCCGAGCAAATTGGTCGAACTTTATTTCTTGTTGGTTTTCCAGACTATCAACAATTTTGTCAGCCTTTGCTCTCAGGCTTTGACACCACTTTAGCATCATTGAACACAGAATTTACACAATCTTCTATCCGACTTCTATCGTCATTGCTGGTGTGAGGCCTTCATGCAGGTATGGCAGCCTATGGTATTACCGTTTAATAAGGAAGTGACATTGAAAGTCAAGTTTATGAGTCTCAGCTCAAAACTCAAACCACAACAGTAGGGAAAAGCTGAAGGACATTTCCTTCTACAGAGAGCAAGCATCCAAGAAAGAGTCCTGTATGATATAGAGGAGAAGAGCATATAATTTTACTGAAATAGTACAACAAGGCTGTAGTTTATGGTGGTTGGCATGGGTAAAGACTTCAGTTAGGAAGTTAAGGTGAGTCAGGTCTTCAAAGATTTCATATTTCCCAGCAGGCCGAGATTGGAGCACCAATTCCACACCAATGAATTATTTACAGCTCTACCACAGAAAAAACCCAAGTAGTGGATTGTGCTTCACTCGTCTGGACAGTTTTCTTAAGCTTGGCCAAAGGCTCTGCAAAATTCTGCTAAAATATTCAAAGACCTGGGTTTAGTCAGACATGACAAAAGCTGATTTATAATGAGTGACGACTAGGAGGCCTGTCGAGTGAGCAGCACTATGAGGCTTAATGCGACGCTCTGACCTGTCCTAGCCTAATGCCAAATTCATCTAGAGCTGCGTTGTACGTAAACCTTGTTAGAGCTGTAAGTCCCTTCCGATAGGTTCATCCAGCTAAACTGTTTTACATAAACTTCATTATAAAAAATGAATGTAGTTTCAATATTTTTCTCCTGGATTACATGCTAGGATTTTATTTATAAAAACCGTATATTTAGTAATGCCCCAGTAATCTGTTCAGTCAGTGTTGCCTACAATACCATCTTTTCAGTCAATACTACCTGCACTTTCCCCATGACACTATTGTTCACTGTATGGTGAAAGTTTTCTATCTTGAAATGTAGGTCAATAATGAGAAAAGACATTATGAGTGGGTGGGGGTAATGTTAGTGGAACATGGGACATGCATTTTCAGATCTTAAGCACAGAGATACGACACGGAAATGGACCAGAGCAGTTGTGCCCAGTGGTGCTCGTCTTAGCCGGGGACCGTCTCAGGTCTCCACGGCGACAGGCAGTGATCAATGTTTAATCCAGTGCTTCGTGTCCAGTTCGCTGGCCGGCTGCTTCCCCTGCACTGAAACGAAATCACGAAGCCTCACGGCCGAGCCGATGGCCGTCCCCTGGTCACCAAACCGCCGCAGAGACCACAGGATGCAGGCAAACGGCACATTCCATCCTCTGACACTATCCAGCCGCAAAGTCGAGCGGTCACCCTCTGTCCCAGGGTCACAGGGTTGGCCAAAGCTTCCCAGTCATTCCTCTTTTTTATGCTGAGGGGTGGGAGATGTCCGTGAGAAGGTGAGAGCTCCGCTCTCTGGGGCAGAATGACGCTGACTGCGTGCTGGTTGGAGCCTCCATCGTGCTGAATGTTTCACGCAGCTCTTGCAGGCCCTTTGTTTGGACTTCAGCTGTAACGAGACAAACCCAGCAGCACCTTTCTTTGCTATTTTCCAGGCTTTGAAATAATCTCTCCAGATTCCTGTCCCCGTATCCCACATAACGGCGCCTCCCGTCCCACCTCAGGAGATACACATATGAACAGCTTCACCCTCTGAGATTCCGTGTTTATTATTGTGGCCCATGATTGCTTCTGCAGACCCAAACTGTGCTGTACAGAGAGATGCCACTTTATTAAATGATTGAATTTAATCCGTCGATCGAATTCAGTCCACCTGCATGCCTTTTATTTCATCATAATCATTGGTATAAAATTGTAATTTAGATAATGAAAATCCAAAAGTCACTGGTTACATGCTAAACTAAAAATACCGCAATGCATTTTGTATATAGTGCTCACAGAATGTCTTGGCACACTTTCTTAATTATGTGAAAATGTTGCAAATTCACTGGTTTTGTAACAAAAGTTCATTGACAAGCAATTTTTAACGTATCTGCACAGACATTTTCTTTTTATTAGGTATAATTTTTTTGACTGGCTCATTCAGTTCTGTTATTTTGCTATTAATAGCAATTGTAATCACTGGCTCCCAAAGAGATACTAAACACAAATGTTTGGTGTTGTTTGGTTATCGCAAAGGTGTAACTAACTATAAAGCATCCAATGAGACTGCTTATCGCTGACTGCTTATCATTGAACTTTTAAACTCAGAATAGCTCTTTTAGAAGCAAGATTTGGGCTTCAGTTTATCGCTACTTGAAATTAATGTTTTACTTTGAAACTTCCAGCTGTTTCTAATACGATCTATATTTTTGTAAACAAATGAAGTAATGATTTTTGTTATAAAACGAATAAATTGAAAATATTTTTACTGAATTAAGCAAATGTACCAAGACTTTCTGTGAGCGCTGTATATTTTAAGAAATGTAGTAGTTTGGCTTAGGCTTAGTCCCTCCTGTTCTGCGTCAACGGCATTTCTGATATCTCTCCACTGCTTTTTCCATCATGGCCACCAGATATCAAGTTTAAAGTTTTATTTCTCTATGCTGGTGTTTCCCAATCCGGTCCTTGGGGACCCACAGACAGAGACTGCTAGGGAGAAAAGACGTGGACTGACTGCGGGTCCCCGAGGACCCGACAGCTACTGCTCTGTGCTGATTGTTAAAGCTTGGTATTTCAGGTAATAACACAAGACATCATATCATAAGAATTTAAGAAATGCCACTTAACTTTCCTCTGATTTCATGAAAGGTAATATGAGCCATTACATCTGAAGTTTTTTTCTCTAATTACATGTGGCCTTATCTCGTTATAACACAAGAGGGCTTGAGCAGTGATCATGCAATGCTGATAAACAAAAGTTCTGATATAAGTCCCATATCTGTCCTTTCCATAGCTTCCTCATTTTAATCTTTCCACCGACTTCTCTATCGCCTTTCGGGGCGTATCCCTGTATATACCCTAACAAGTCACACAGGCACAGGTGTGCCATCCGGCTTGAATCATGGATTTTAAATCACTATGCATCTGAACCTCATTTACCCCCAGCTTAAATGATCCTATAACAACAAGGTCTGTAACACATGTTTTTTACCAGAATGAATTTTTAATATGATAACTGCACTTTTTTAAAATTAAATATGCTTCGTAAAAAGATCTTAAAATGGAAAACGTTGTTGCTGTACGTCTTAAAAACGTGCTACTAAATTATGACTGAACAAGACTATCTTTATTTTAATACCTATAAAGCAAATGGCAGGAAACTTTTTACACACCGTTTCTCGCCTGGACAGTCTGCCTCTGGATTAGCCATACAGATTCACTTCGTTTACAGTACCAGTGTTGAAAAATGAGAATTTATCCAGGTAAGTGAGGGCCTTGCAGGTGACCAGGCCAGAGTATGTCTCCAGCAAGCTGCAGGGCCTCGTGTCTCGCAGGTCTTCCCAGATGGAGGAAAGCTCGCTGGCCGTCACGTCGGCCGAGCTGAAGAGGAACTGGTAGCAGCAGCTGTTGTAGCGTACGTGCTTCTGTCCGGAGAAGCGGGAGCTGTGCATGGGGACCACCCCGGCCCGGCGCACGCAGAGGCCCACAAAGACGTCGTAGGGCACAGGGGAGGCCACTTCCTTGGCAGCTACGTACACCTTGCGGGCCACATCCTGCGACATCACGAAGGCCGAGCCGGCACAGTAATCCGGGAAGTGCTTGTCGGGGTACTGGCTCAGAGACAGATAGCGTGCGCTGCTGGGATTTCTGTCTGGCATCTCCTGGTGCACCACGCGGCCCAGGTACAGATCCTCTGGGTGGCGACGTAGGGTCAGGAGGTATTCTCCGAGAGACTGGAGATTAACGAACGTGGTCTCGTCCGTCAGCAGGATGAATCGGGAGATGGGACAGTACGTCACCACCCACCTCATGGCCAGAACCGTCTTTGGGGTCTGGTTTCTCGAAGAATCAATGAAACGGGCCTGGATAATATCTCCGTAGCGTTTGTTTTCCATCCTGATGGCGGCCTGGGTGATGGGGGACCGGCTGGACCCCAGGAGGAACAGCGTCTGGATCATGAACCCTTGGATGTGCGTACGGTTGGCCCAGGTCCTGCGGATATCCTCCCGCCGGCTTCCGTTTTCCGGGGAGCTGAAGACCAGCGTCAGCAGGAAGACGTCGCGGTGGGCGCAGGCCCGGGGGCTGCTGATGACATACTGCTGCGAGTCGTTGGCCCTGGTGCTGCTCAGGTCCAGCTTGCGAGCTCGCTCACGAACCTCCAGCACCTTCACGTCCGTGTAGGTCCTCGGCATGGGCTGGAGGAGGCATTCCTCCACAAAGTCGGCCCCGAAGAGCAGCGCGTGGAACAGCAGCACGTTGAAGAGCAGGAAGCACCACTGGTGGGTACGCAGCCTGCAGAAACACAGCTGGAAAAGAAGAAATGCGAGGTGCGGACATCACACAGAGCGGGGAAGGCAGAGCACAGACATTCGGCACAGGCATTCGGCACAGGCTTTCGGCACAGGCGCAGCTCGCAGTCAGGAGCGGAGAGAACAAAGCTATAACTGCTAGCAAAGACATACTGTACCTGCATTGTGTCGCATACAGTTGGTTTTTAACGGTCCTCTTGTCGTCCCGAGCTACAAACAGACAGCAGTGTGACTGATGAAGGCGTTCAGGTCTCTCTGCTCATCATGGGACCAAGATATTGTTACTGGCATGTGTCCTGACCTCAGTCTGCCAGTCATGAAATATTAAGTCAGATTAGACGTGTGGTGTAACCTTACTATTAACTTTAGACAATGGCAGAAACCAGCACACATTAATATATTGATAAGCCTGATAAGGCCAAATGTGATAAGAATATAGTCACCCCAGTTTCAAAAAGGGAAAAAAAAATCTAATTAAAAACCACGAAACTGAAACTCAGAATATTTGTGGAATAAATAGGCTCATTAGCACATAGATCATTTTTCAGCAAAGGTTGTTTTTTTTTATATCCTCTCGGGCTGTTGATGATGAAGCAAAGCAAACAGAGGAAGGTGGATGGAGCAAAATGTCAAGCTGATGAATGCGACCGCATTGTCGCATTATGCATGCGCCGAAAAGGACGAGGCACGTTCTTGGACCCGAGGATCGCCGGCACTGGAAAGTTGGCCTCCGGGGCCGGTTCTCCTGATCTTCATGCTTACTCGCTGTTATGGACACTGAGCCAAGCACATTTGGTGCGCAGGCCATCAGCACCGGTGGAATCAAGTAATAAATTCCGTTATGGGAAAAGAACAGGAAAAAACCCACAAACATTTCCAACATTCGCTCAGCGTTATGTATCAGCGGTTCTGCCGGTTACTGTCTATAAGCCAGAATTAGAGCGAAAAATCCAGCCAAGCATAATCGAGTAAATTCAGAGGAAAACAGGCACGGCACAAGAGGCAGGCTGATGCCACTGTGTACTAATTCTGAGTGTCGTGTTGGCAGGACTTACTGTAACTGTTAGGCTCATTATGTGGTAGCTGAGGCGAAATTAATTAAGCTTCGTGTGTGTACTTGTGTTTGTGTGTGTGGACACGGAGCCTCTTCTCCTGTAATGTGGGCTGTATGAATAGTTACTGTGGTACTGGTTATAATACTTGAGGCAAACACGAGTCACAAACCCCTCACATCTGCTCCTGAACAGGAGTCACTGTTCTATATCCAGCTGTAAAAGAATGCAGTCCTCTTATATTAGCTGCGCCAATTAAGGACATGTATGTTACGGCATTACATATGTCTGGGTTACTGTGTTGGGGGAATCCGTGTTCTGTGTTCTCATACTGTATATCCCTTTACCCCCACAGTGGGGATACACGAATGTCAACAAAAAAGCCCTTGTTCTTGTATATTCTTTCATACACAGTTCTTGAGAAAAGGTACTACTATTATTGTAAATTTATTTAAATTATTACATGGAGATACAAATGTTTTAATGCTAATCTAAGAACAAAAATAGCTGGTGGATATATGTCATGAATACTAATACAATATAAAATACTATATAAAAATATTTATATATAATGTCTATGTAGGTAAATAAATGGAAATACATCCTTATCAAGTCTGATGTTTTTTTAATGCGCTCAGTATTTCCCCGTGTTCGCACACAAGCGATTTACCCCTCAATCAGAATACAGAATGTTCTTCCATGTGGCTCAGCTGATATGAAGAAGAATGATATGATATTATAATAATTTGCTACGGCTGTAGTTCTGCTAAGCAGAATGGCGGGGGGGTGACTGGAGGCCGCGGTCTGACTAATGAGGCCAGTGGCTGTGCTGTGCTCTTTGGATCGCTGGGGGTTGCATATCGCCCATGATATTTGGAATGTCAGTATGGAGCAGACATTCATTACATCCATACATCCGCTTTCCATAACTGCATACCTAGCAGAGGGTCACAGCAAGTCCGCAGCTTCCCAGGACGAGGCAGGAGGTACCTTGAAAGGGATGCCCCCCCTTTTCGGGGTATTTACTTACACCCTTGGGGCAGTTCAGCCACACTGATTCCATGCGTGTCTGGATGGCCTGGAGGAAATGCTCCTGGAGAACGTGACATAGCTGGAGGAAAGGCTCCTGGAGAACGTGAAGCAGCTGGAGGAAAGGCTCCTGGAGAACTTGAAGCAGCTGGAGGAAAGGCTCCTGGAGAACGTGAAGTAGCTAGAGGAAAGGCTCCTGGAGAAC